TTATTTAGACGTTTGTACACTAGAAGGTTGAGGGTCCGTCTTGCTATCTTTATTTAGACGTTTGTACACTGGAAGGTTGAGGGTCCGTCTTGCTATCTTTATTTAGACGTTTGTACACTGGTAGGTTGAGGGTCCTACTATCTTTATTTAGTCATTTGTACACTGGAAGGGTGAGGGTTCTGCTATTGTTATTTAGACGTTTGTACACTGGAAGGGTGAGGGTCCTGCTATCTTTATTTAGACGTTTGTACACTGGAAAGATGACGATCCTGCTATCTTTATTTAGGCGTTTATTTACTTCTGACGATAAATTCTGTAACCTTTTCCCAAGTGAGTCAGCGATAAGCTTACAGACTTATAACGACAAAATTCGGCGTTCGATTCCCGTGATGGACAGAGCGCAGATAGCCTATTGTGTAGTTTTGCACTAAAACTCAATTATGTAACCTCTAATAATCTAACTTTCAGATTAAAGAAAACTCTGCAGTCAAACGTGATACCTAAACGCAAGCTACTAACTAGCTCAAGCTGAGAAGTGAATCTTATTTGGAGTAAAGAAGTGTGTATTTTTTGGTTAAGATTGTGTGTTACCTAATAAGAGTGTACACAAAATGTGCGAAAAACATCTTTTGTTTATAATATAAAGTTAAAATTACAACGATAGACACAAAGTCACGTTTCATCCACTATATAATAGATATGAAACAAAAACAAATTAGAAATATCTTATATAATAATACTAAGTTTTGTCTGTCTTAAAAATGCGCGCGCACCTTACTATTTAAATGCGCATGCGCGCACTTCATTTCAACGGATGTAGACAAAAGGCGGACGTAAATATACTTTAGTAGACATTTTGTACAACAACGTATTAAAAGCTTATTAAAGTTTTTTTAAAAAGATCTAACGTTAGGTCGTAGAATAATATAAGTTTATTTAGTGATAGTATTAAGTATGGTAAAGTTTAGCCTTAACTAAACTAAAGCAAAAAAAACGTACAGAAGTTACAATGTTAATTTATCTCTTTTATCGGCTATACTTAATAAAGGCTTAACTAATACTAATTTGACTGCAAATGTTTTGCGGTTCTCAACTAGTTTTATAATGATGACAAGTTAAGCGAAAAACCAGTTGCTTTAATGTTTACTTACGTTAATGTCAGCTTAATATACTGTTCTTTAAGTTACACGTGAATTAGTTTCAAGTGTTCCGCATCATTACTCGTAGAAAGGAATGAATAAAAATAAAAGAACAACATGAGGACACCATTTTGATTGTTATCCCTAACTTTCATTTCTCTGTCTTCGTGTTACGTTTCATTTATCATAATCATATAAACTTTTTTTGCGATTTTAATCTTAAATTTTCTAAATAATTAACTTTCTTATCATTTTCGCTTAATCAACTCTTCTGTTTCTCCATTTGCCCCTTCTTTTAATTAATTATAACCACCCATTAATTTTACTTTATCTTGGTTTTTGCTATCCAAATCGTAAGGTCTTACTTAGAAACTAGCACCATCTTTCGTATATTCAATAAATTTCTTTCCCTTATGTTAGCTTTACTAATCCGGTTCCATTTATCAGATATAAACGTCTTTAAATACACGAGTAATTTAACTACATCGTCTTATTCCTGTTTTAGTTTACTTATTAATTAGTTTTAAACCTATTTTATCTACCGCATTTTTTTTTGCCGAGTCATTTTATTCACTTCTAAGTTTTTCAAGTAATAGTTTACATTTCTTTCTTCCCAGGTTTTGGGTTAGAAGCAGTATTCCTTCTGGTAGTGGGCTACACCCGTAACACTACGATAGCTATCACGGCGCTCACTGTGGCGGTGGGTTTCAGCGGGTTTGCAATATCAGGTTAGTAGCACATTATAGAGTTAGGCTTATCGATTAACACACATTTTTGTGATTTTATCCAGTTTAAGTTATTGATGAAAAAATAAATTCTAAGTACGATATGATGACAAATGCTTCAACTTCTCGACAATTAATATTTTACTGAATTTTGAAATGCGGTTTTTGAAACCAACCTTTTAATAGATTAACCTAATTGAAGAGAAATAATGGAAAATCCATTATATTAACATTCTGATCAATTTGAATTTTGTTGTTGTTGTTTTTTTATCAATCATTTTGAAACCAATTTTCTGTTATTCACATGTCTACATTTTGTTGGGTGTAAGATGTCGTTTGTGATATGAAAGCTGTTGTTGTCAATTAATGACGTTTACTAATCTTCAGCCCCCAGTGGCACAGCGGTATGTCTGCGGACTTACTACGCTAGAATCCGGGTTTCGATACCCGTGGTGGGTAGAGCTTTGTGCTTAATTACAAAGAAAGAAACAATACTAATCTCCATGAGTAATAAAAAAAATCTCAGCAGTAACTTTGAAGACTTGTAACGATAAAAATAGGGTTTCTATACCCGCGGTGGGCAGACCACAGATAGCCTATTGTGTAGTTTTGTGTTGAACAAGAAATAAATAATAACCTCAGAATAGGACTAATTAAAATTATTAATAACTTTATCAAAGGTAACGACAGACCTAGTTATATGTATTTGTTTGAATTATATGGTTTGTGATATGCAGTCTAGAAAGTACGTATGTTGTGGTCTATATAAGTTGAATCACTTTAGTTATCAACTTATCTCTGAGCTTAAAGTTTCTCTTTTTGTTTGTTTTTAAAGTAATTTCAAAATCAACTTTGCGAGTATTGAAACGAGTCGTTTCTGTAGTGAAACAGAAGGTGCTCTGTGTTATATATAAACAAATACAAGTATTCGTGATTCTTCTGTATTCTAAGTGCAGCCAGCGATAAGATTTGAGAAGAAAAATAATACTTACCATGAGCGCCATCTTAAGCTTGAAATGTGTATGTTAAGTTGCTAGGTTTTCGGTTGGTTGTAATTAAACACGAAGCTACACAATTGGCTATCTGTGCTCTGCCCACTACAGGTATCGAAACTCGGTTTCCAGCGTTGTAAGTCCGCAGACATACCGTTGTTCCATTGGGGGCCATGTTTTCGGGAACATTACACTTTAGGCCTAACATGGCCAGGTGGTTACGGTGCTCGACTCGCAATCTGCGGATCTCGGGTTCGAATCCCCGTCACATCAAACATGTTTGCCCTTTCAGCCGTGGTGGCGATATAATGTGAGGGTCAATCCAACTATTCGTTGATAAAAGTGTAGCCCAAGAGTTGGCGGTGGGTGGTGCTGACTAGTTATCTTCCCTCTAGTCTTTCACTGCTAAATTAGGGACAGCTAGCGTGTAACTTTGCGCGATATTCAAACCATTAAACTTATTTCTGTTGAATGTGAAACTTTGCTGTTTTTTAATAGATTGGGCAGCTGTTTTGTAAGGGTTAGTTTTTTATCGATCAAAGTCAATACCCTGACTCTAGTGTACACACATTTACGCAGGCACTAAATTAGTCCAGAAAAGCTCCATTCTCATCGCAAGTTATCCGCTGGGACGAAACTTTCTTTAAGATCTGAACTCTCAGTCCATAGTTACCTTCTCTTCCAATATCCTCTCACCAACCTATACAATTACGTAGAATAAAATATCGGAACTCTCGGAAAGATTTCGGGATCAGTCTTCGTCGTTCCTATAAGCTCTATGCCTGTTCAACAATGTAATAAACCGGAGAAGCGATAAAGCAATAAAGTGGATTGCGCTGTTTTAACGATCTGATACTTCTCTAGTTGATAAACGAAAAATGTAATAAAGTTATCTGGGAATTAAACAGAAGCTGGTTATAAGTCATAACTGCGTTATAAATCTTCTTTGGAAACTATTTGATGAAAAAGAAATATGTATGACTAATACATTCATCACAATTTTAATGTGTTTTGAAAACCGTTATAAAACGGCCCCCCTCATCTACCCACTTACCTAGACTAGTCACTTTAAAAACATTACGTTGGAGTTCATCGCATTTTGAAACGTGTTTTGTGTTAAATATTATAGAGTTTTATTTGCAAAGATGTGATTCGATCAAGAAAAAAAGTGTTGAGTTGACTGTGAAATGGGCGGCTAGTGCCTATTAGAGAAACACTTGTCGAAATATATTGGTGACTGTACAATCTATTTATGCAGCTCAAGTTTAGAGGGCGACGTTTGAAAGTCTTCCAACCTGAAGATAAAAGGCGGAAGACCTTCGAAACGTCGTCCTCTACACTTGAGGTGCATAAATAGATTGTATAATCACAATATGAAAACTCTGCCTAACTATCTATCAAAAAGCAGAACGTTGTTACCCTGTAAAAGATACCTGGAGTTTCGTATTTTGATCTTATTTATTAAACTCATCGACCAGATTAATGTGGAACAGAGTAATAAGTATTAATATACATTAATGTGTGAAAATACATGATAGTTTAACCCAAGTTTAATTAAAGTATACATTAATGTGAGACAACACATGATAGTTTAACCCCAAGTTTAATTAAAGTATACATTAATGTGAGACAACACATGATAGTTTTAACCCCAAGTTTAATTAAAGTATACATTAATGTGAGACAACACATGATAGTTTTAACCCCAAGTTTAATTAAAGTATATTCTACGTACAATAATTTAAAAACTGTTTACTCACGAATATGCTTGTTAAATAGCATGTACATATATTTCATTTTATAAGTTTAAAATATCCTTTAAACATCTTTATATGCTATCAGAACTCATATACCATATGACAAGGCCACTAAATCTACTAACATTGTGATACACATATACACGATTTACATTTCTTGCTTATAAACGTAACGTATAACAGTGAATGTGAATTTTTTATACTTCTTAACATCCGTATCTAAACATGAATATTGTATTTTTAAAAGGAAAGTGTGTTGCAGAACTTGGAGGAATATTATTTGTATTATATACTGTAATATAGTTTATAATGTTATTTATATATTATAGTCTGTAATGTAGTTTATAATATTACTTATATTTATAGTCTGTAATGTAGTTTATAATATTATTTATATTATAGACTGTAATATAGTTTATAATATTATTTATATTATAGGATGTAATATTGCTTGTAATAATATTTATATTCTAGACTGTAACATAGTTTGTAATATTATTTATATTATAGACTGTAATATAGTTTGTAATATTATTTATATTCTAGACTGTAATATTGCTTGGAATATTATTTATATTCTAGACTGTAATATAGTTTGTAATATTATTTATATTCTAGACTGTAATATAGTTTGTAATATTATTAATATTCTAGACTGTAATATAGTTTATAATATTATTTATATTATAGACTGTAATATAGTTTGTAATATTGTTTATATTATAGACTGTAAGCGACCAGGAAAACATTAAAAAGAGGGAGGATGCATTTATTGCTGTTGGAGTATACATCCATCTACTTAAAAACATTATACATGGCTGATTTAAGTGAGGGTGTTATAATGTGATGGTCAGTCCTACTATTCGTTGGTAAAAGAGCAGCCCAAAAGTTGGCTGTAAGTATTGTTGACTAGCTAACTGCCTTACCTCTAGTATATCACTGCAAAATTAGGGACGGCTAGCGCAAATAGCCCTTGAGTAGCGCGTGAAATTCAAAACAAACCAAACCAAATCAACTCAAAACCTCAATAGGTGAACCAGGTCACGTCCATGGAACACTCTGTTCATATGTAAATAATTGATTTTGTAGCTAGATATGGTTGAAACTAATCCCCCTTTAAACCTGTATCCAGCCACTAGTAACACCTCTGACACATAAAACTCATCAATATGGACTTTTATAGTAGATACTAACAGATTAGCCAAATTATAAGGCATTGCCCACTGAATATATTATCTGAAGAGAATTAGCTTAACAGTCAGGCTAAGTAGGGGTCATATTGAAACAGGAAGACGTTGGTTTCTCTTCTGTTAAAATGTTTTACCAGTCAGGCTAAGTAGGGGTCATCTTGAAACAGGAAGACGTTGGTTTCTCTTCTGTTAAAATGTTTTAACAGTCAGGCTAAATAGGGGTCATCTTGAAACAGGAAGACGTTGGTTTCTCTTCTGTTAAAATGTTTTAACAGTCAGGCTAAGTAGGGGTCATCTTGAAACAGGAAACGTTGGTTTCTTATCGCTATCACTTACCGAATTTTTAGTAAGGGTTTCCACAACTATTGGACAAATCATTCCAGATAAAGTACCGAATCCGTTGGACATTCCCATCAAAAGACTAGCATAGCGCGGGGCAATATCAAGATGGTTGACGTTAAAACCTAGAAATTCACGGAAGAAAATTAAAATAACAGAATTTACAAAATAAAACACAAGATAGACAGAGCGTATTTATCCAACACTTGGCTAATGATACTTGTGACAGTTGCTATCGGGGTAAAGTTAAGGTAAAGAGATCATTTATGAGATTTTTTGAGGCTTTTTTGTTCAAAACCAAACGAAAAAGTAAGACAGTATTGGTTGGTAAGTTATTTGTGTGTGTTTTAAAAACAAAGCCACATCGGGCTATCTGCTGTGTCCACCGAGAGGAATCGAACCCCTGATTTTGACTTTCTAAATCCGTAGACAGCAAGTTTTTTTTTTTGTTATCCAATCCATAGAATCAAAAAAAAAAAAACTACTCATATATAATATAGATGTACACATGAAGAACATGTATTCATTAAAAATTATTGATTATTTGGTAGTTGCTCCTTGTATCATATTATATGAATTTTCTCCTGATGTGAAATTCAAAATTACGCCACTTAAACGAGTAGCCAGTTTAAACATTTTAACAGAAGTAAGGTGATATTTTTGTGTTCTAACTAAATTGATAACATACGCACTAAAGACACTGAAACGTATACTCTTGTCTCTAAATGTATCTCTTTCTTTTTTTTCAACAAACAGACGCGTGTTCTTGACAAATAAATGCTTTTCCAATGTCATATGAGATACATTAGCGCCACGAATTAAAATAAATTGACCAGTATAGAGTCCGTTTCTTAATATGAGCCTACAATATAATTATGCCAAGTCAGTTTACGCCTAATATCAAACTTTTAATCTGCAGCTCTTACTGAAAAATTACACTAAAGTTAATAAAATACAACATTCAAAGCGTAGTTTTTCAATTACTAACTAAAATCCCATTCAACATCAGTGTAGAAATTTGTGTTCATAATGAAATTAAATCATAGATACATTTATGAATAATTTGTATAATCTACATCTGCAACTTGAAAACATTTCTATGACTTTACGGCCCGGCCCGGCCTGGTGGTTAGGGCCCCGGCATGGCCAGGTGGTTAGGGCGCTCGACTCGCAATCTGCGGGTCGTGTGTTCGAATCCCCGTCACACCAAACATTCTCACCCTTTCAGCCAAGAGGGCATTATAATGTGACGGTCAATCTCACTTTTCGTTCGTAAAAGAGTAGCCCAAGAGTTGGCGGTGGGTGATGATGACGAGCTGCCTTCCCTCTAGTCTTACCTGCTAAATTAGGGGCGGCTAGCGCCGACAGCCCTCGTGTAGCTTTGCACGAAATAAACAAAAACAAAACAAATTATGACTTTAGTAATTAACTATGACAACCAACATCTCGCTTTTAAGGAGTACTAATGTTTACTGGCAGAGACAAAATAGATTTATTTTTGATAAATACAGAGATAGAGTCGACATTAAGCTACTTAGAAGGTGTTTTTAGTTCTAATATGTGTTACATAATTTCTCAAAAGCATTCATCCTCGAGTGTCGTCGCTGTTTTCAAAGCGTCTGTTAAAAGCCTCAAATGAACGTTATTGCGAACGACATAGTAATTGCTTGCTTGAAGGTTGCCACTTAGTTGTAGCAACCGTCTCTCTGGTTTCCAACTAGTTTGAAACTAGAACGGCTTCAGTCATTTTGAACAGACATAAAATTCTGCTTCGGCAAGGTTAGAAGAGGTTGGAAGGCATGAATGGGAAAACGAGCTCCACATCTAAGCCTACTGGAATGTGATAAGCTGGGGGTAGGGCGCTCATCAAACAGTCGTGCGGTCTTAATCTTAATCCCTGGGTACTCTATCAACGGGGGGTTTGCGGCTGTATTGTTATCAGACTGGGGAAACCGACCAGAATGAGAAACAGAGCTTTCAATAAAGGCTCAATATGATTTATGGACGTAGCTCACAATGGCATATAACCATTCATGTAGCACAACACCTAGCGCACTCTGCAGAACGATGTAGAAGTTTTAATTTGATCTTGTCTTTTTAGGAAACACTTACGTTTTGTTTGTTTTCTCGAACACCAATTAATGTTTAAAACCCGTTTAAGTTATACATTTTCCTGTGGTTATCATTTTAAATTGATATATCATGATATATTTAATAGAAACGTACAACGAAACTGTAAAGAATCTATCATGATACATTTAATAGAAACGTACAACGAAACTAAATAATCTATCATGATATATCAAATAGAAACGTACAACGAAACTGTAAAGAATCTATCATGATATATCTAATAGAAACGTACAACGAAACTGTAAAGAATCTATCATGATATATTTAATAGAAACGTACAACGAAACTGTAAAGAATCTATCATGATATATTTAATAGAAACGTACAACGAAACTGTAGAACAGTCGAGGCTTACATTCAATAATTCGTTTCTGAATGCAAAATAACTAACTAATCACGTTATGAGCCAAGTGACTGCTTCTTTCTTATAAATATAGAGATCATAGTTATGTTGCATAACAGTGGGTAAGAGCAACGATCTCTCCGACTTTCATGGGGAAATAATCGTGTATGCTTTTTTACCAGGAACTTTGGTATAAAAACCGTCTCTTCGATTACCTTTTTAAAAACATTTCTCCTCAAGTTTTATCAACGGTGGTAATATCGAAACGAAATAATTCTGCCATTAGGAAAAGATATGGTCTTAAGCCACTGGGGATTGACCGAGGCTTGTAATGCCTCAGATTGGGTCCCTATTGGCCGATTCCTTCAACAATAGTAAATAATGCACATCTCACGTGCAAACTTAATACCACGAACTCGGTGCCTCGTGAAGAAGGGAAACTTAAGGACATATTGTTGCCTGATAAGTTCGCAGTTCACCCTTTCCTGCACTTACTGTACGTAAAAAATACGAAACAGACAAACACATAAACTTGAGTTAATTAACCTTTTGTATTTCTGACAGTGTAAGTTGTTGGAAGAGATACAAGAGTTCTGCAAACGTCCTCGTGGCAGAGGATGAATCTTTTGATGTAAAAGAAAAATATTTATAGTATAAGTTGACCATCATTGCCGGTTATTGTAGCATTTCACCCAACCTGACGAATAAAAATTCTCCCAAGACAACAACAATTCACCGTACTGGTATTGTCCGAAATTGATTTAAAAAGTAAGACAATAACTTTAGTAACCTTCTTCAGTCGTACAATCACCAGATAAAAAGTAAGACAATAACTTCAGTAACCTTCGTCAGTCGTACAATCACCAGATAAAAAGTACGACAATAACTTCAGTAACCTTCTTCAGTCGTACAATCGCCAGATAAAAAGTACGACAATAACTTCAGTAACCTTCTTCAGTCGTACAATCGCCAGATAAAAAGTATGACAATAACTTCAGTAGCCTTCGTCAGTCGTACAATCGCCAGATAAAAAGTATGACAATAACTTCAGTAACCATCTTTAGTCGTACAATCGCCAGATAAAAAGCACGACAATAACTTCAGTAACCTTCGTCAGTCGTACAATCGCCAGATAAAAAGTAGACAATAACTTCAGTAACCATCTTTAGTCGTACAATCGCCAGATAAAAAGCACGACAATAACTTCAGTAACCATCTTTAGTCGTACAATCGCCAGATAAAAAGAACGACAACAACTTCAGTAACCTTCTTCAGTCCCGGAGGATGGTATTTATTGAGGGTTTTTTGTTTGTTTGTTTTCAGGACCTTATAATAAGCTATGAATTTTTTCTTAACTTTAAAACCAAAATTGCTCATTTAAATATAATATTTTTTCCATTTAATGACTAATTCCTAATTCGACATAATAATAAAGATTTAAACGATAGTGGCAGCATAAAAGTCAGGTTTTTAGAAATACTATGTCACGTATGAATAAGGAATTTTTGACCTACGGATTATCCTTTTCTGAACATAAAAATATTAATATTAAGCAGACACGGATCAGCTAACTAAATAACCATTTCTCTGGTTTTGTTGAATTTGCATTTTTTTTTTTTTGAATACGTGCTAAGACTATTACAAGCTTACTGAAGGAGAGTTTGAACTGCAAGAATAAAGACGTTTAAAACAAACAAATTGAGCGTATTGTTTACCAACCCCCTCCGATGGGTCAGTGGTACATTTACTGGAGATACAATGTTAAAGTCAGGGGTTCGATTCCCCGTGGTGTACAACACGCAATAGCCTATTTTGTAGCTTTACGTTAAAACAATAACCGTAGCGGTGTAATGATCTTGAATACTAAATTAACTGAATATTTATAAATTGTCAGCAATGTTGACGCTAGCCAAGGAAATAAAATTAATTTTTAGCTAATGGAATATTTTTGTCTCAAATCACAAACCAGCGGTGTAGGAAGGAATTGCAAAGTGGGGGTGCTTGGCTAGACATGCAGGTTTTACAATGAGAGATTAAAAGTATAAGGATTTTTGTTTGTAATTAAGCACAAAGCTACACAATGGGCTATCTGTGCTCTGCCCACCACTGGTATCGAAACCCGGACTCTAGCGTTGTAAGTTCGCAGACATACCGCTGAGACACTGGGGGGCAAAAGTATAAGGAACTGCTAAAAGCATCCCCCCGTGCTTCCAAAGGCATCTCAATCTAGGGGGTCTGGGAATATGCCCCCAATAGAATTAATATCGTAATATAATTTATAATTGCTCTATGAATCAAGTATATAAAAGTGGGGGGGGGGGTGCTTCTGACGCCCCTGAAAATACAGATTACTTTTCTGTGAGTGAAATTATACACATACTGTAGTTCACTATTATAAGAGGCTGAGCTAGCTATATATGAGAAATAGATATTATAGAAATCAGTCTAACTCAGTTACAGGTGACGAGTTCAAGAACAGACAGTGTCTTGCGTTTCTCTTTCTCTGACATTTTTCATTTTGGTGATAGAGGAAGAAAAAATAACCGTTTCTTTAACACCTTCGCCACTGAAGAGTTTAAGATCACTAAGGTTCTTCAAACATCCATTTGAGTTATTTCTGCTGAATAACACAACGTACACAAGAACTTATATTTGTTTCTGTCAATTCCGGTCGTGAATATTTCAATAAATACATGAAAAATAATATACTTCCATGTTAATTCAACACAATTATAGAGCCATATAAATGATGATATTAATGACGTTTTTATTACAATTGTTTCAGAATTGATAACTAAACTGATACCAGTTAATTTCCTTGACAAAAAAAAAACAAGTAAGCCTTGTGTAAGTGTGGTGCAATTATAACATGATGGTCGATAGGAACACCAGCAAGACAATGATCCTAAACACACAGTAAATGTAGTGGAATCATAACATGATGGTCGACAGGAACACCAGCAAGATAATGATCCTAAGCACACAGTAAATGTAGCGGAATTATAACATGATGGTCGGTAGGAACACCCGCAAGACAATGATCCTGAACACACAGTAAATGTTGTGGAATTATTACATGATGGTCGATAAGAACACCAGCAAAACAATGATCCTGAACACACAGTAAATGTTGTGGAATTATTACATGATGGTGATAGGAACACCAGCAGGACAATGATCCTAAACACACAGTAAATGTAGTGGAATTATTACATGATGGTCGATAAGAACACCAGCAAAACAATGATCCTGAACACACAGTAAATGTTGTGGAATTATTACATGATGGTCGATAGGAACACCAGCAAGACAATGATCCTAAACACACAGTAAATGTAGTGGAATTATTACATGATGGTCGATAGGAACACCAGCAAGACAATGATCCTAAACACACAGTAAATGTAGTGGAATTATTACATGATGGTCGATAGGAAC